TGAATCTTGTTATAAATATGACGTTTGGATGCACGACGGCAGATTTGAGAATTCAGAATTGATATCAGAGTTCAGTGAGTGAGTATCATAGAAGTATGTTATTATGAAGAATCTTTGAGAAATACAGGAGCATTAAGATCAATTGAAGTTTCATTTTAAAATATCATGGACCGTACTAGAAGAAGTGACATTTGTAACGTCAGCGAGGCTGGCGTCCCTTTCTTTAAAAACAACGAATATGTAATAAATCCGATATACATATATATATATATATATATATATATATATATATATATATAGTTAAAACGTGCATAAAAAGTATTAATTTAATGTCAAATTGAAAGGTTATATCTAGAATATATAATATGTTTGTCTAGAATGGCTTTATTAGGGATGAATTTCACATTAATTTCACCAACGTCTTCAGGATATAGATCCCTTTAAATTAGAAATGACACTGAAGATATTAATAACAATATTCATTACAATAATTTATAATACATAAAATAATTATAAGCCTTATAAAACAAATATATTACATTCTACTAATTATGCTAAATGAAGAGGAATATATGTTTTCACTATGTTATTTTATTATCCTCTGTAAAACAATTCTTACACAATTTATTATTAAAATTGTTCAATAACACTGATGTTTTAAGTTAAATATCTTGTGAGCACGATAGTACGTGATGTATTAAAGAGATTTATTATAATTAAAATCATTGTTTAGTCAAAATTATAAGAAATTATGTAAGCTTAAGTATTGATATTTGATAATATACAAAAATCTATACAGTCATGTAGACGACGCGACGGCAAATGTGTTTATTTTATAAACCATTTGTCTCATATGAACAAAATACTACCTTGTAACTCTAAACTCTCCGCTATAGCTTCATTCTCAACTGCAAATTTTACTAAAGTCAGTTTAGAGCATTTTAAAGATTATTACAAAAAAAGTTTTAAAAGAGCAACTACACTGACATTAAACGACTGTGAAATAGGAAGGGGAACGAAGATATTGATTTTAGTGAGATACTGATATGAAAATGCATGCCTTAAGATTTGTTACTTTTTCATCATTTTATAGAAATATATTTTTAATTTGTTCAATATATAAATAATATAGTAAAAGCATATTATTATATAAAACATACAGTAAAAGCGATGTTTTCTCGCATCTATATATATTTGTATTGGCACTCATACTATTTGGCAAATGGAAATCTATTGAGACGAATACAGTGATCCTCACACCTTAAATATATTGATCATCTTATATGTGACATGCACACATAATTCTACACGATATACAATTTAAATGTATATTATAGGAGTTATCGTAAAATAAATATAAGAAAATTAACTTTGGTTGGAACAAAGACCTTAAAGGAAAACGTTTGCCTTTCTTTTTAGTCGATCTATGCAAAACCGAGTCGCATCGCGGGAAATATAATAAAGGTTAAATGAAAATAAAATAAATTTAAGGTTGAAAATACGTCTTCTAACACGTCTACTTTGAAGTTTGAAAATATTCAGAATTCAGAGTAAAATATTTAGTTTTTAAGTATTTTTGGAATAAGTTAAAGCTTTTAGTAAAGAAAAAAAAAACTCCACTAACAATGGTTATTAGAGGAAGTATTTATAATATTAATAAGTGTTGTAAATTCAAAATCTCTAAATATATTTAAAAAACGATTAAGAACCCATATATTAGATGATTTCACTGATCTTGTTTAATATCATTACTGTTTATTATTTGTAATATCTTAATTGTAGTTATAATTTTGTTCTTTTTGGACTTTGTTCTTTTTAGAAATACACTTCTTAAAACCTAATCTAATAAGAATTCCTAAAAACAAAACAAATATATAATATGCATTTTTCCTTATTTATTATAATCGTCCATTTACACTTAAATAATTTTTTTAATGTTTAAATCAGGTAAATTTATTGGGAAAAATATTATCTAATAATTTTTTCTATCTGCGTCTTTTAATTAGAGTATGTTTAAATAATATATAGATACACACATACATATACTATACAGAAGGTCGTCGTTCTCATTATAATTAGTTTTATCGACACTTTTTAATAAAGAAATTGTGAAATGCTGAAATTTAAATTGGAATTCTTCAATGTGATTTAACTGCGAACAAAATAAAAAGCCCGTGAAAAGGTTTACCACAGACAAACTGACGGGTTAGCGTGGAGACTATAAGTTGCTCTTATTTATAACGAAACTCTATAAAGGGTGAGAACATAATCTGTTTGAATTTATAACTCAATTCAACGCCGTCTTTTGAAAAATGGCTGAGTATACTTTTCAATTAATCATTCCCATTTCGTGGAGTCAGAAAATTAAGGTACAAAATTATAACTGGTAAAAGCGGTAAAGCTTTTGTAAGAATTTCCCTTAGAAATCGTTGACCAGAAAATAATGTTGGGATAATGAATCGAATGTCAAAAAAATATTTAAAATTTACAAAATTACGTTATAAAAAATAACTTCTCATTATGATAAAACAGAGATTAATTTACAATTTAAACACGCTGGCACACTTCTACCACAAAGTAGTGCTATTTATTTCCAGTACTCGTTGGCATGTAACAAAGGAATTGTACACTGAAAATGCAGTTAACTTTGTTATGATTTCAAAGATTATTTGAATTACGTTGTTCATCAGTGATACAATTATCGTAATAAGTTTGTTTGTTCTGCATGAATGTTTTGGACGCAAATGCTTTTTGACCCTTTAATTTGTATTATCAGTAATGTCAGGAAATGCTGTATTATCTTTTCCGGCTCAAACAAGCGCTTGATTATTATTTAAATTAATTGTTCATACACAATTTAAAATGAAGTTATATATCAGGTAGCTTGTAGCTTAAAAAATATATAAAAGAAATGCTTTTAATATTTAATCTATTTTGATAAACATGAGTGATATAACATATTCATTCATCATTAACACAGTAGCTTAATATTAATGTTCAAACTTGTCTGTGATTTAAAAAAAATGTGTAATGTATCTGTAACCGAAAATATACAAGACTATATATGGTGATAATCGCATTGTTCAGTACTTGGGGCTATAAGTAATTAAAAAAAGCGATCCCATATATGTAACCAATACTGTGTGCTAATTATTTGTTTCTATGTGTGTATGTATTGTTGTTATACCGTATATCTTTAGAGACCTATCTATGATAATAAGAATTATAACTCTTTGATACAACCCATTATTAATGTTTAGGATTATCGACAGCCTTATCCAGTTTTATCTCTGCGGGTACGATTATAGTAGTAATCGTAGAGTCGAGTGTACAGATTTCTCCCGAAAAAATTGGGCCGCTAATACTCCTGTAATTATCACAACGTAGAAAATGTAAAGGGCAACGGTAACTATATGTATACTACCAGATGGGTCGTTACTCTTTTGGCAGATTATTGGTAAAAGAAAAAACGAAATAATAATAAAATTTTAGGGCTTGGTGGCCATTATTATTATTATTATTATTAATTTATAAAATAAAACCATGAAATTCAATAAAAGTTTATTAGTATAAATGTGTACAAACATATTTTGGTTATATGCCAACGAATTTTTTTTATCAGATAGTATTAAAGATCAGCACAATCATTTACTAAAGTAATTTTATGTTATCCCAAGTACCCAAATTACTTTTCGAGGTTTGTTATCAATTGTTCTTCTTATTATGTTTACTTTGCTTACAATTCATATAAATCATCACAATGAAATACTTTTCAGTGCTGCTTAATAATATTATTTTTTTTTACACAATATTGAGTATCTAAAGTTGTAATACTATCTCTATTTTTAATTATACTATTTCAAATATAGGGAAAAAAGCTAAATATATTTAAGATTAAAGATATAAATCGTACTTCATTCATAACGGTTCATAAGTTTACGGACGATAAATATCAGTTTTTTCTCGTTTTTTCATAAAGATATAAATATATTATGAACGTAATGTACTCGTATTTATCTTCTACATATATATTCTACGAATGTTTAAAATTTCAAAGTTTAGATTACTTACTACTATTCAGTAAAAAATATATATTCATAGTTAACAATTTCGCAAAAAAAACTTACCATATATGATAGAAATTTTGTGTGTACGTTAGCTGTAGCGACTATTCAAAGACAAATGCTATATGCTATTTTATAATAACACATCAATTTAAATTATTTACAATTAAATAACAAATTGAATAGAATTACGATACATACTAAGGCTTTTGAAACAAAAGTGAGCAAGTAAAGATTACACCTCTTCAAAGTTAAGATTTGAATTACAGTCGGCTTGTAAGGTTTAGTGATTCAGGATAATATATCTCGCGGGGAGGCTGTGTGATCTTGTGGTATTTCCTTGGAGACGGCTGTGAAATGGCTGCCTATGAATCATGTTTTGTTGGCAAGCAGGTGCCACCTTCGACACAGCTTAATTGTATGACCCTCTTATATTACCCTATAATAAACTTTTGAACCTTATACCGTTTTCAGTATAAATCTTTTTTTTAACATGCTAATACTGTAGCAAGCCGAACAAACAACTGTTGAAATTAAGTTTAATATAAATTCTATTAAATTATATGTCTTACTCAACTTTATATGGATAGAAAGAAACTGGTATTTATTTAAAATACGTACTAATGTGTCAGTAATACATATGTTTCAAATAAGTCATTTTTGATAGCAGTCCTTGTTTCAAGAATTATGTTGGGTGAAATAAATATTTCAAGAGGAGGCGAGATATGATTTATCATTTTTGTGGGGAAATTTAATAAAAAATTTGGAGGTGGAATGGTAGGAGTCATAAAAAAGTCCATAATTTTAAAACATATAGTGCTTTCAATATACTAATGGATTAAATAATATAACCACATAGTAATTTTGTTTTATCTTTCTTTTTAGGCGTGTACACAGATTAATGAAAATGAGGAAAATATAAAATAAATAATCAATATGGCCTTCGACGAAAGCAGTACAGCAAATATAACGCAGACACTTTCAAATCTTTTCGAGGAGGTACTACACGCGACTGAAGACTCCGGTGAGAATAAAAGCGTTGACGTGACGAAATTCTTAAGCGCTTTAAAGGAAACGTCCACTAAAAGAAGCGATGCTATTGACTTTGGTACATTAGTAAAATTAGTTGATGGCTGGCGTACGAAGCTGAATCTTACTAAGCCGGTAGAATCATGCGACTACTGCGAAGGGAGTATTCGAGACGTTATTCTTGCTTACAACAGCATCCACGGATACGTAAGCTTAATTGTAAGTGGATTAATATAATGTAGAGATTTGTGTTGTTGTTGCGTTTTGCTTTATTTTATATTTGATATGGCTTTTTGTGTTGTATGCATTATTTTATCTTATTGTACTTCGTTAAGAGTAAATGAAAATTAAAAGTAATTTCATTTAAATCCATCATCTTTTTGGAGCACTGAATCTCAGTATACGATAGAACAATAACAATACCTAATTTTTAATATCCATTCAAAGTAATTCGTGCCTGAAAGAATGTTTAGTTAAAATCGCTATTTACAAATTAAAAGGAATTTTCATCAAACTCGTTGTATGTAGACATGGTTGGCATTCTTACATTTGGCTAAGAAATACTTTTTGTTTTACGCCTCAACACTTGAATATCATTTCAAAGGTTTTGAGTTGAAATAGTTAAGCAAGATAAAAACCTTTGGCTGAGCTAAGCCTCATTTGCATTTTTACAACGTACAGTAAATATGGTTTACTGAGTGTGAAAAAACATGATTGTGGAATCCTCATAATACTTTAACACGTAATGTTTCGGTACATGAATTTAATATTCATGGTAACGCAAAATGAAACATTTTTTTACACATTGAATAAACATTATGACGATGGTAATTTTCAGACAGTTTTGACGATGTTATATGCAATAAAAATTTTACGTTTTATTTGATGATGGATAAAATGAAAATGTTTGTTTTTATAAGTCAGTTATGTATAAGTGTAATCAATGTATTATTGGCGTTTTGAGCGTTTTGGTGTTAATGAATTATTAATTTGCACGTCGATTAGGGAAGTGATGTTTGTGTATTGATTTATGATTGGCTTTCATTAAAGCTTTTTGTAACTGTGAATTTATCATTGTCTTGTATTTGGATCGAGGTTAGTAAATGAAATTTTTGTAATCCCTTTAAAAACTCGTATCTGTGGACATTACGTCGTGTCTAAGAATTAAATAAAGCATTTGTACGTTCACTGATAAAAAGGAAGTAGGCGGACATATTTTTCTACCCACAAACACAGAGGCAACATTCACAGAATAAACACAGTAATGACAACCATGTAACTATTTTTAATATTTTTAATATCACAACAAAACTACATATCATTCCGATTTTCAATTGAGTGTGGTTTGTTGTAACAAAATTTATTTTTAAAAATATTATATCTGTCACCCTTATTAACGTGATATGAATACACAATCAATTAATCACATACTTTATACGTATACATTATACTTGTGTATAATTTATTGTGAAATGAAAAGGGATAAAGAAATGAGAAGCCGTCGAAAACGTGTTATTATAAAAAATGTTTATGGAAAAAAAAGAAAATTAGAAACAATATTATGTTCAAGGTTATAATATAAAATAAAATACCTCGTATATTGAGGTACTCGTTAGAAGCTCGTAAATATTACCCCAATATTCTTTAATTTCCTAATGATTTTGTTCTGATTAAATTTCTAATGAAAGTAATGACTAAGCACTTAAAACTGTAAAACTCATTATTATTAATTAGTATTCTATTTAATAAAAATATAATTAGAAATAAAATATTAAATTTATTAGATCTTATTGGTAATTAAGCTTTGTAAGATTTTATCAAAAAATTTGCAAATCTGATAGTGTTTTTATTAATACTTAGTATAATTTTATTGTGACATAAAGCAAGAATAATAAGAACACAAAACTATTTCAAAATGTATTAAAATTATATTTCTAAATAACTTTTTTTAAATTTATAACCATAGTGTTTTTTCTGTGTGTCTTGTTTAAATTTAAATGAAAAATTGAATTTGTGATTTTAGTCTCGTACACCGGAAACAAAATCCAACATGTTGTATTTTTCCTCCGAAAGGCTTATGTTAAAATACAGGATATTAAAGCATTTTTTAGACGTGTAAATTTTCCTGTTTTTATGTCAACGTATATTTTTATTCAGTCCATGTTTTTTCCAGATGTAACAAATCTTCATACCTCATCCAATTTGTCAACATTTTCAAAGCAATTAGCTTAGCTTAAGCGGTGTTGTTTGTTTAGAAATTCTTTTTCTACTTTAGTGAAGGAATATACCTATAATTTAATAAACTCGTGAAAATCATAATACTCAGCCAAATTACTTTATTTACAAAAATAAGCACAACTGAATATAAAAATCGTTATATTTATTTTGTTATTCAAAACCACAATTTAATGACAATTCATTATTACTTTTTTATCGTATTACACTAAGACAAATGTTTTGCTTAATTTATATTTAGATTTATTTTGTAGTTGTAGTAAAATAACCTAACTAACAAGATTCTGTAACTTTACTTATTTATAGCCCAAACATTTATTTGTGGGCAAAATAAATAAATCAATGACAGTTAGTACGTGATTTAAGATCAGGTGAATAACAAAAATAATTTTACAAATGAAACGAAACTGCTCGGATAATACTAGATTTAGGTATCTTGCTACCATATATATAAATTATAAAAAGTTTTATTTCGTAAATTTGTCTGCAGGCAAATATAGAAAATTTGGCTCTATGTGTATTTTGTTATGGCTATGCTACGTGATAACAAAAAAAAAAATAGTATTATTAAATGAAGTTTACATATTCTAAAAATAAAAAATATACAAAAACATGTACGGAAAATATTTTAATCCCATCGCTGAAATAATATAATCTTCTGGCATTTCTTGGTTCACTAGAAGTTAATTAACTAACTAGATCCCTTTTCGACCGTAAGGCTTTCTAGGATATAAAAATTAACTCTGTTAAAACTACGTAGTCTCTTTTTAGAGCTACTTAGCAAAAAACTTTAACTATATATAATTTTACGAGACATTTTTAGCTCAAATGGTATTAAGTTATACCATTCCATGAATTCAAACAGTCGGTCCGTAATTGAATCGGTTAAAGATGAAATAACAATGTATTGAACTATCTACAGATTTTTCAAGAGTAAATCAATTTGCTTCTAAATTCGTATTTGCTACATTTAATATTGAATTGTTATAGTTGAAGCATTCAATTTTGAATAATTCCTCTATTTTTGGAGAGTATTTTGTAAACTTCATTTTAAGTAAGTAAAGCTAAAGTTTGCCAAATAATTCTTTAAATCGTGTTCTACGATTTTCTTCAGTAATAGTAAGTTTCAATAATATATTCAAGGATATAGCTAGTGAAAGTTGGTAATATTGTTAATAATTATCTACTATCTCTTTCTACTTGCATACATGTTATCATTACGTTGCAGAAAATGTGTTCACAGCAAAAAGGAAAACACAATATCTTTGATATTTTTGTTTATAGATGGATTTAACTTTTTAAAATTCAAAATATTAAATTCCTATATTACTAACATATGCTAGAACAGTAGTCTTCGTTCATAAACCTTTTTAAAACACTCATATTCTATTCATTCAGTTAAATAAAGACATAATATGTTATGTATAATGACTTAAGTTTGTGTGATGGACGTGAATATTCATACGTACGATTGAAGAAATATTTTAACTTTATTGCAATTTAAAATAATATATTATACTTTTAAATCAAAGCTTTTATTATGGCGTAGTGGCAATTGTCCAATCACTTTATTTTTTAATTACGTAATTGGTCATACTGATCTGCTTTTTCATAAGCTTATTAAAAATTTTCATCATTTTGTTAAAGTTTCATCATTTTGTGATGTAAGTGCGGGCTGCAATTAAACAAACAGTGAGGAAGATCTCATATCAAATAAATTACTAATAAAAGTCAACTTATAAACTAAATTTCTCAGTATCTCGAACGAAATGTTGCGGCGTGTTTATTTTTGAAATGCTAATGTTTACATTGAACAAGGAAAATACTGCTAAATAAAATATTTTCTTTCAGGGACCTAGTATTTAATACTGCAATGTAGGAATATTTTAGCGTCCAACCAAAAAACTACTTCTCTAACATAAATAATACCAATGCCTTTGATTTCTTCATAGTCTTCAGATTGTGTCCTTATAAGTTTCTTGACCAAAAAGCGTTTAATGGTAAATTAAAACAATATATAAATATATACAGTGTTATTTTAGAGACCCCTGACACGTAATTTATTTCAAATTCTTGTCAACAACTATAAAAGCATTATAACAGAAGAAAACACTAAACTTGGCATTTTGATTTACCTGTAATATGCATGATTAACGTATGAAGTAATATTTTATTAATGTAATGGGTTTTGACTTTTGATTTTACCGCAAAATGTTTACATAGTCTAGCCTATTTGAATAAATATTTGAATTCATATTTTCATATATGTAATAGTACTGTATTTATTTTACATTAATCACTATATCTCCCTCTATATTTTATCTACACGTACATACATATAATTGGTAAATATCATTATTTTAGGTATGTTTATTCGGAAGTTTGGCTAACACGTTGAACGTAGCTGTACTTACGAGAAGGGATCTCGCAGCATCTCCTATCAATCGACTGTTGAAGTGGCTGGCAGTCGCCGATGTTTTTGTGATGATGGAGTATGTTCCCTTTGCTATTTATAGATACTTGGTAAGTAATTTTAATATAACTCAAATAATTGTTTTATTTAACAAACAATACAAAACCATCGACATTTTATTCAAAAACTTGTTATTTATTTTATATACATATTCACAAGATAAGGAAGAACAATTATAATCTTATAAAAAAATATATTAGAAAAAAACTAATGTCAAATCGTAAAAAATAAATATTCTTTTCAGTATCTTCATGATACCATAATTCGATGAAACCAAGTCAGTCACTTTAAAACGGTTTTTATAAATGTAAATTGGTTTACATTACGTCTCCGATATACTATGTCTAATTACACGTTATTAATACATAAATACTCACTTACTGTATCCCATATGCAAATGTTATAATCCGGCAAAGCGTTGACATACCCAAATCGATTAATATGTCTGCCCTAGATTAATCAAGATCATATTACATATTCGATGTAAAGTGAGTCGTGACACAGTACATAAGTATTGGGTAAAACAAAACTATTTAATATAAGAGAAAATTCTTTCTTTACAATATCTACGAAATTGTATATCCAAAATGTTCTAATTAGAGTAAAGCAAATAATTTCACTAATCTGATTGGTTATTTAAAAGTAGGAAAAGCAAGTTTTACTATCAATATATCGATGTTTGCATTAATGATAAAAAGGAACATGTTTGGGAATTTATCTGATAAATATAATATGTAAAGTACCTGTTTCTGATATTAATATAACAAAAAAGAACCTTCACAATTAATAGCTAAAACATATTATCGTATATAAAAGATATTAGCAACCTACATGGTTAACGAGCGGTTTACGTAGAAATCAATTAATTGAAAACGTTTCCAGTCATCGTATTTTTCATAAATATTAATTGAAATAAATAAATAATGTCACTTTTTGTAAAGTAGAGCTTAATCGTTTTGTTTGATTGATTTTTTTCAGTCAGATTGGAATCTGGATGAATTTATTGTATTCATAAAATTACGGGGACACGCGTTATACATATGTACACATGATGTTTATACGCAATTAGTAGTAGTAGCAGATAAAAAAAAGGTTTTCGATATCTATATTTAAAGCAACTTTGAGTTCTAAATTAGATATTACCTATTTATCAAGAAAAATATTCATTAGGTATGTCTAGTTAGCCCTGTTACTGATTTTAGGTTTGATTTAATACATAACGTGCAATTGTTTTCTTCATATCACGTGGACTTAAAAGTAACTTTTGCTCCTACAAATAGACTTTTCATAATCTGGAATATGTCGTGAAATCATAAGTTTTAGACAAAAAAGGGAAAAAATATATAAACTTATTTTTTTTTTTAAATCTAGTTATAATATAACGTTACTAATCTTATTCATTTAAATTTATTTAGTGCTCCTCCACTGTTACAATAAAACGTGTTATTTATATTATAATGTATTTGTATTTTCTAACAGATCTTGCCGGGACAGCGTGAAATGCCGTATAAATGGGCAGTGTATCTGTTATTCCACATGCACTTCACCCAGATATTTCACACGGCCTCCATATGCTTAACTCTTTCACTTGCCGTTTGGAGATACGTAGCTATTAAGTGAGTATTATATTAAATTTTATATATGAGTCTATTTCTTAAACATTGCATCAATCAAACCAACTTATAGGTTTAAGTTTTTTAAATGAAAACACAAATATCAAGTGCTATAAGTTCATGATTCATTCTATCTGCACTATTACAAAGCATTTAAGCAATTTGATTTTGTTATTACTCTTTTTGAAGTTTTATCTTAAACATTTAAACAAACTTTATAAAACTTCTTGTTTAACCACGTTCTAAATTTTAGTTTAATATAAAATATTGAAAACAAGAATCAAACACGCGTTTATCATAGCTTGTATACCACTTACATTGTTATTTTTAACATTACGGAAAATTCAAGGAGCGTAAAGATTATTTACGAATATCATCTATTTTAGTGCCGCAAACATCAAAACTGTATTTCATAAACACTTTCTGTATTACATTTGAAGCGGCCCCTGATATTTACAAATAGACGTAAGAGCTCTAAACTGAGATGGCATTTATATTTTGTATCCTTTATAAAAATTAGTCCTATAGTATGACTTAAAAGAAAAAAATTGTATGTCGATTTGTATACCAATTAATATAACAATTATGTTAAATATTATACAATATTATGTTAAATATTTCTAAAAGCAGATACTTTGTTTTCTTATTTAATGTACAGAAATTAAACATAAAAGATTGCAATTTTAATACTATTAATTATTATAATATGGCAATCATAGTTATGATGAATGATGTCCACCATTGGATTGTATTTAGTATGTAACCAATTGGGTAACTAGTTTAATTGCCCGCAGGTATTCCGACCGAAGCCATGTACTGTGTTCGGAGAGACGATGCAGCACCGCAATACTTAGCAGTTTCATTCTACCACCTATCCTTTGCATTCCAACTTTTATGGTAAATTCATATATAAAATCTTTGAAATAGCCTCCTCATAAAAGAAACGATAAGCCTATTAGGTATATTACCTATTCATATCACACGATTGATTTTTATGGAATTCAATACTTTTTACGACTCATCAGAGTAGGGAACGGTATTGAATCCTTTGAATTTCTTTTAAAGGATCCAATGGCATCACTATAAAAGATTAACCTCTCGACCATTAAATGAAACTTAACAAAACGTTTTTGACAGGGTAGAAATTTATTTGAGGTTGCCAAGTCCCTGTAAAAGTTTATGTTATGTCCTAAATTCGATTTTTATGTTATTACTCATTTACTTTAAAGAAAAGATTCAATGAAACAATTTATTTTCAACAGGTATTTGATGTTCACACAGCAGTGGTGTTGGAGACTAATGGGCCCGTGATTCTTTATCACGTAGACGCTGACGATGAAGGACAACTATACCAAATAAATTTTTGGGTACACGCGGTTGTCATCAAATTATTGCCGTGTATTATACTGACGATAATCAGCTTGTGGTTAATACGAGAAGTGTACAGTGCTAATGAGCACCAAAAGAAAATAAGAGTGTACAATGCATGCCCCACCAGCAATAAAATTATAAAACGTCTGTGCAAAGGAGACAGGCGTACGAATAGAACGACGAAAATGCTGGTAGCGGTGTTACTTCTATTTCTAGTTACAGAATTCCCTCAAGGAGTTTTGGGTCTTCTCAGTGGTGCTTTGGGGCGATGTTTCTTTAAACGCTGCTATGATTTATTTGGCGAATTAATGGACGCGCTGGCTTTGCTCAACGGGGCTATAAACTTCGTTCTGTACTGTTCAATGTCTCGCCAGTTCCGGATGACATTCCGCCAGATGATGTGGAGGGCTCATCTGCACCGATGGCCACCACCACAGCCCTCTCACTCTGACGGCTTGAACACGTACGTAAAATTTATTGTGTCATTTATGTGTTCAGTTAAATGATTCTTTGCGATATAAAATAATGAAATGTTTTTCATGCATATATTTGAAATTAAAATAAAAAATTCTCTTTTAGAGCTAAAACATCGATTCCTTGAAATAGGGTGAAGGAGAAAGAAGCCTATGTCATGCAGCAGTTTGTATGAAAAGTTGGTGATTTGTAGGTTGAGGGGAAAAAGCAAACTATAAACGATTAAGAATCTGACAAGTATTAATATATTTGAAAAGTATATTCAATTTAAAATGATCTAGTCAAGCTTTATAGTCATACAAATAATTGCTTAAATGTAGAATATATAAATTAATAAACTACATATATACGAATTAATTTATAAGTAAGAAATTTAATTAATAGTTTAATGAATAGATACAATGACTCAACATAAATTAGGTACTACAAATTAGAATGAAATTTGCTTGATTTTAATAATTGATGTACAGATATTTATAAAGAATAAAAGTTATTGTTTCATATTTTTATTTAAATAATTTATTATTTTTATGCCATGATAATGTTAATTATAAGAATATATATTATTTTTAGCAAGAGAATTAAAAAAATCTATTAATAAAAATCAAATAATATTGTTATAACCATTTAATTCAAAAATTTATTGGTTATGATCTTAGATATTATAATTTCTGTGTCAACAACTTTCAAAGAAAAATTTTCTTTACTTTTAAATAAACCTTAAAGCTAGATTTATTCGGATTATTAACTCCTATTATTTATTGTTAATAAGAAATAATTATAACGATAGATATTTAAGAAAAACATCTTTGAGAGCGCAATAAAATTAAAATAAAAAAATACTTTTAAAAACTTGTCATTAATCAATACTGTTTTTCTATCTGACAATTGGTGTGATCGTAGAACTAAGTCGTCAATATTTATATAAAAAATTAATAAATAATTATACAAGTGTATGTACATATATAAATCTTTGTTCTGTCTGAACATATTGTTGTTTTACTATTGTTGTCTCAGACAGAGGCATTACAAGGACGGTTCATTGTTTGATTTTTATGTAAGTTACTCTTAAGTCTTGTATTGTAAACATCTTTTCAAAGATATGAAGTGATTAAGAGAAATAAAATTTATTATTGAATATGCTATTTAATTTATGTTTTTTTAATCAAAAGACAATCAATAATCGTTGAAGAGTTCGAATGTAAGCTGAATACTTTTATTTACTTTATGAAGTTCCTTTTAATAAACTTGTAAATAAAAGATATTGTAAATGTAAATAAATGCTGTGAACTAAAATGCTTGCGTATAAATTCACTGTGCCGTGCTTGTTTGGTTTAAATCAAAGCAAGTATATTTGTGTGACTAGAGGAGTCAAGACTACTTATGAAAGTGGTTTGTTGATTTTATATTTTGGAATTTACGGAAAAGTCGAGATATACATAGAATAGAGAAAATAAAAAAACGTGATTGGAAAGGATTTCACGATAAATAATGATGTCATATTTTGGATACATTGTGAAAAACTTTATAAAAATCAATATTTAAAATGCAGTGTATTCATACTTGTCGTAAAAGATAAACCTTTTTTTTACACACTCCAATTCCAACAGAGGTCTAGTTAAACAATTTAAATAGGAAGCGCCTGATCATTTTAAACATACATTTTATATTTCACATAGTTTACACTTTTAATGGTCATTAAGTATTTAGATAACTGCACACGATATTTGAATTTTAAATATTAAACACTCAAATGTTATTGAAACAAACTTTAACATCTATAATACGTTTAAAGTGACGTTATAGTTTAGAAGCTAAGCTAATCTTAAAAATATATTTTCAAATCAGACTGTTTCACTTTCATCTATTTGGTGATAACACCAATTATAAAATTAAAAGGATACAATAAGTCAAGAACAATTTTAACTCTCAATGAAAACTTCGACATCTATATGGATAGCCTACAACGCACTGCATAATGCTCCTTAACACACTAAACCTACTATTTACGTCGGCGGAGAGGAGGTCATATATGCCGCTCCGGCAGATGAAATCGTATCACGTCCCTCGATGGCAATATCCTTCTACGGAGGTCCTAAGCCGAGGTCCGGTCTCTGACAGGCACCCTGGGATCGAAATACCTCTCAAGGCACTCTAGGCTATTTCAAGAATACATTAAGATCACCCATCCTATTCGCTGGTGCTTACAAAGATTATAGCGTTAACAATTATAGATAAGTTGAATAAATATGGTATTCTTAGTCATAAATGCAATGACTAAAAGTAATAAACAAAAGAAATAAACGTATTTACTATGACTGAATTTTCTTTAAATCAACATTATCGATTAAGATTTAATTTTCTCTCTAGTTTGTATAAAATCTTCTATTGAATATCAAGTGCAGCTTCAACATTGTAGACTTTCCCTGAATCCTAATTCGAGTTTCTACCACGGTCCCAAACTTTGAAATTGTTGCATTTTCAATTAATTAAAAGAAGTTTTTGGAAATCCTTACAATAGAAAGGTTTTTATAATAAAACTATGATATAAAATGTAAAAACTACGTTTTCATTATTTCAAGATTATGAATAATGTTAAAATTAAACTTATAAAGTATTCTTAGACTGACATTTACTCCCACTAACAGACGTTTGTCGCAATAATTTTCTATTGATAATACTTACTGATACTTTCTCTGTACAAAAATAATCTTTGCAAAGTTCGCAAAGAATAAGCAATTACTTCTTAATTTGTTTTTTTAGATATATATAGCTTCCAAAATATATGCAGTATAAAGCGTTTAAAATAGGTTAAATATAAAGGCCAGTACTTAACCATATGTTTTTGTTCGATTCCTCTCACACCAAAGGTTGATTGGTAGAGGTGTCTCCTAGATACCTCTTGTAACTAAAGCTTTCGCTCTCTATATAAATTAAATAAGACAGAACGACTTTTAAAACGCTAGGGAAGATATTATTTTTTGCCACTTTGCTATAATTTTTTGGAAGGCATTTGAAGAGTATTGTAAAAGTAATGTAATATGACGTAACTCAAGAAACAATCTGAATATATTTTATTTAGCAACTGATGTTCAGAGAAAAGTTAAATGGTAATGATATAGATTTTAGGGAGGATATTTAATTAATTGCGTAATTAATTATTTGCAGTTTCATATGATTCCAAGATTTTTTATAAAAAAACGATTTTTAATTATCTAAACCAATAAAATGCTCGGTCTTAACAATTGTCAAGGTTAAATTTGCCAGCGGAAATAACTTTATTTACATGAGTATTTAATATTGTATATTTAATTAAAAATTGCACAAAAAATTTTGAATATTCATATTGTACATTCTTAGACATAAATAAACCGTCTTAACGTTATATATTCATTAAAAAAATTGTCTAACATAATTTCTGTTTTAGACGTTGATCTATTTTTAAACTTTTATGTCTAACATAACAATAAATTAAATGTAACACCTTAGATTCCACAATTATATATATTTTTTGTCATATAAAATTGAATCAAACCTACATATCAAGGTTTTATTGGAATAATATATACCAAGTAATATCTTTTCTGATTAATTTTTATCATGAATTTTCATAAAATTACTTTATTCTCAACTTATTACCATACAAGTTTTGATTTGCGTACGTGTATAAGAAGTTAGGCAATTAACAAAAGAATGTGTTTCGACAATGTTTCATTTATTAGCTCACATTTCTTTCAAACAAACTTGAACTTTAAACTTAAATACTTTTTAAATAATTTACAATTTATATCCAGCTTTACGAAATAAAAGCAATATTTGGTTTTAATTTTTAGTGATAATATTTGTTTTCAAATAATATTTCTTTATAACTAAACTATTATTTATTGAATAAATAGTTATGTAATGAATTTATCTTTTAAGAAAATGCAGAGAAGAAATACAATTATTTTGTGGGTACAGAGTTCGATTTCTTTCGAAGGAGACAAGTAGATGTTTGATACAGTCTTTATGAATACTACCCATGATTTTAAGAGTAACCTCTCTAAGGAATTTGTTTTTATCACCCCAGCTAAAAATGACCAGCCAAGTCAACCAGGTAATTTGTGATTATTTTCAGAAATGAGTGAAACTGTTAATACATCAGAAACGATTTTTTTTATGATAAAGGGAGCTACCGAGCAGACAGCCTACCTGGTGGAGATATTACCATCTTACATAGACATCCTCAATATAAGAGACATTGCTGATGTATCGCTAACCTTGATTAGGGAAGAGGGGAGGAGTAAATGGGAAAGTGTAGGGGTAGAATAGGATGAGAAAATTGAAAGGGCAACCGCCTCTCTCGCTCATCGGGTGAATCGCAGTCATTAAAATCTTCTGTGAGAGGGAAGTACCACTTCCCCGGTGGAGCCAGTCCAGGTTGGAGGTTGGAGCTGCAGTAACCACAGCAAGGCACTAACTCCTCGAATGGAAGGAATAATAAATTTCTTGAAGGAATAATAATAATCTCTAACTCTTTCCTTTCTAGGAAAGAGTTAAGGATTTGGGAAAGAATTAAGGATTCTCATTTCACGAAACAAGAAGTATAATTGTCCCAATCAAATTCTTAAAAGTTATGATGTCCAAGGTCTTTACTTTATAAAATCCTATTATGAATAACTTAAACTGTTATTGTCTTATATACTGATTATGTTCCTTAAAATCAAAAAGCATTATCCAAAAACGAGGTATACCTATACATATGAATGTGTCATAATAGGGTTTAAGATTAATCCATAAAACAAATAAATAAAATCGACAGAAGTTGCTTATAATGTTCAGTTTTTTTATCGTAAAATAAAATTAGTTTATAATTATGATTGAGTCATCCAGATTAACACTGATAAACAAATTTCGTCCGTATTTTTTAAGATTAGCTGGAAGATTTTTGTCTTAATCCTCAATTGGTTTGTTTTTAAATAAAAAAATCAGTAAAAAATTTTAATCACCTAACTCGTTCTTTGTCTTGTCATTACCGGTTCTTGCAGGTTGG